CTCCCCCCTTAGGCCCCTCCCCCCTTAGGCCCCTCCCCTGACCCCCTTTCCCTTAGGCCCCTCCCCTGACCACCCCCCCCCCCCCATATCCTCAGGCCCCTCCCCTGACCCCCCTTCCCTTAGGCCCCTCCCCTAACCCCCCTTCTGTTAGGCCCCTCCCCTGAGCACCCCCCCCCCATATCCTTATGCCCCTCCCCTGACCCCCCCTCCCTCAGGCCCCTCTGCTGACCCCCCCCCTCAGGCCCCTCCCCTGACCCCCCCTCCCCCTCAGGCCCCTCCCCTGACTCCCCCCTTCCTGAGGCCCCTCCCCTGACCCTCCTCCCTTAGGCACCTCCCCTCTCCGTACCCGGCAGTAGGTCTCCACCAATCAAAGAGCTGTTTGTAAGGTCTCCACCAATCAAAAAGCTGTGTGTATTATATATTATGTACGACAGACAAACAGACAGTCAGACAGACAGACAGCTAAATAATCCCTGGTGGGCAGTGTGGAACATTGTTCCTCCCTGTATTAGGTACAATATATAGGGTGGAACGAGAGCACAGTGGTTTGTACATTCCCGTGTGAATTGGCTGACCTGAGTTTGATTCCCGGCCTCGGCAACGTCGGTGGCGAGTGATATCTGAGCTTTTGTTTAACGTCAACACGAGAAAGACAAAGGTGGCCAGGCATGGTGCTGACCCCTCCACCCGCTCGAGTGCCGTACCAATCTTCTTAGGTGCTCGCTAATGGTGCACTTGCCCCTACAGCTGCCTGTTAAAGGTTATACGGGGGATCCGTGTTGTGTGTGTGTGTGTGCGTGCGTGCGCGTGTATAGACGGTGTGTAAACATCGCCACTAGGGAGACAAAGGTGGTCGCGCGTCGTGCTGGCCCACCCGACCCCTCGTTTTTCCGTGCCGGCCTTGACCTTGACCCTACTGGACATGTGTGAAAAAGAGCTTGACAGCTCATCGGATTCCTCCAGTATTAATACCATATTCTGATTCCGATAGACGCTCGCCAACGGCACTCGTTCCTACGGGGGACCTCTGTCTTTGCTGTGCCCGTGTGTGTGCAGGCCTCCGAGAGAGATGTGTGTTCAGCACCTACAGCAAGCACTCTGCTCGCTTCCCACTTGCGACTTCGTCACCAACAAGAACCTGGGCGTCATGCTGCAGCCCAAGCAGCAGGAGCCGTAGGTGCAAACAATCGGCACCGGTGTGAGGAGGCCTTCGTCCAGCAGTGGATGTATCTTAACTGGTGACGGTGATGCGCAGTCTCGGCTTGTGCACGTTCGCTTCCTTCTCGACCTCACAACCGACTGCTGTTAGCAGTTGAATGCAGACTCTGGGCACTGAACACTCTCCATATGTCTCCATGTGTCTTTGTACGTTGAACTTCACTCGCACCGTCCGTAGCCAACCGTGCTAATCGGAGGTGCGGGTGTAATCGGCGGTGCATCACCCAGTCCCCTCCTTTCATTTGTAAAGAAAGTAATTAGCATTACACATGTGCGTGTGTCGATTGAAGGATGTAGACTGTGCAGTCGTGTTCCCAACCACGGATAAACATGATGTGGAATTTCAGAAGCATTTCAAAATTTGCATCCTTGGCAGCAAACGCTTGGCCCGGTCAGTCAAGCCGTCGCCAGGCAGTCATTTCAGGGCCAGTTGACCTCAGCAGGGCTGGCAATAAAGGATTGCAACAACACCAGTGCAGTCAAACCAGTGAGCTTCCTGCCCATCTCTGCGCAGCGTCATCGGGGTTAGAGAAAGCCACGTGTCCACGACATCACGAGATCGGTGCCAGAACGGTGTGACTCGAGCATATTGGCACAAGACAGCAAAGCGGAAAACAAAAGACGAAATATGCAGTGGGGACACCTACGTAGACCGTGACGATGACGTGTCCGTGATGCTCAGCGAGATGATGGTTTCCATACAACGAGGGAGTCTACAGCCCGCGTCCTTGCCACGCGGCGTACTTCGGAAGCATTCTAGAGTCGCCAGCCTTCGTCGTCACCTTTGGGATGATCGCCGCTGAACGCAGCATTCCCAAGGATGGCGACGATAACAACGCCGGCCGTGTTACACGATGCAACCATCGGGGGGTTTTTCTCGTTCTTGTTTGTATCGGATGTGTTTAGCAGTTCGTTTAAAAGAAGGTTGAGAAAGTACGTTATAAGTCTGTTTAACACGTAGGCTTTCGCGACCAATATCATCCATAATACATGTTTTTGTGGAGAAATTCCAAATTAAACCGATCTAACTTAAAATAAACTTGTATGATGGACGTTATAGGTCGTCGTGGTCACCGCCACCGTGGCGAAAGCGTCGGTTGAAGCGCCCACCCTTCTTCGGTGGCGTTTGATGACCCCCCCCCCCCCCCCCAGCTACCATTTGATGTGGCCCCTTGGAGCATGCGTGCTGACGTTCGCGATTTCAGTAGAGAGGAACACATTGCCACCCTCCGGGGTCAGTGGTGAGTTGTGCTGGTTAGGCTTTCCCATAGCCGTCATGGCAACCTCACATTTTTGTATAATTTTGTATGAAAATAAAGTTATTCGGAAGCAAACGTTCATGATCATGAGTTTAATGTGTTTCTGGTGTAATGTTTTTTGTTTGTTGCATTCAAACGTTTTCGCTTTGTATAAAAACTCGAGAGAGTCCAGTTTTTATGGGTTAGCGCGTTGCGCCACGAACCCAGTGACCCGAGTTCGATTCCTGCTCACGGCCAACACCGGTGACGTATCTCCACTGGTCCTGGGCCTCCCCTAGGTCGAACCGGCCTCAATTGAGTACCTACTGCGATGTGGTGCTGACCACCTACCCCCTCGTGTGCCATGCCGGCCTTCATAGATGCTCGCTAACAGCACTTGCCCCAACAGTCTGTGAAGGCTCTGCTGGGAGGGTCTTTGTGTGTGTGTGTGGAGCGGTAGTGTAGTGGTCAACGGGATACGCTATGAACCCGGCCACCCAAATTCAATTCCTGCTCACGGTCAACACCAGTGACGATTATGTGAACCGGTCATGGGCCTCCTCTAGGTCGATTCGGCCTTAAATGAGTACCTGGTCCGGTGTGTTAACATTGGCACTGAGGAATGCCATACCAACCTAAATCAATTGCGCACGTGGTTTCGTGCAGTTTTTTTTCTTCTAATGTGGCATAAACAACATGCGAGCCCTACATTCCGACACACATCTCGTCAAACTGATGTGAACACATTTGTCACAATCACACTGCGGACTTAAAAGTAAAAAATACACAACGAGGCGACGCTTCTGGCAATGGCTCTGTATCGTCATTTGTGCTTGTACACCACTGTCAACACCGCAGCAGCAGCATCCCAGAATGATGAGGTTTCATGAGACGTAATAGACGCATGACCATGCCCCAAAAGTCCCATGTTATGATATATATATATTTTTTATTCTCGTTAAAATGCCGCAAATGTGTACACTTCGAAACAATGCAGGCACGGTCGATGCAGAAACGCCGCGTCTCGACGATTCCCAAGTGCTCCAGACATCGTTGGACTTTGCGATTGATTCCTTGAGCGCAGCAACGTCAAATGCACCCATCGAGCCCAGCGTTCTGCGTTGAAATGCCACCACGGGGCCGCTGGGGGGGGGGGGGGCGCCTGGGAGACCTATAACACGGCCCCCCGACAATACACAATGAGTGAAAAGACCACCCACCCCCCATCATCATCGTGCTGCTGTCAAACCCACGGTGGTTTCAAATCTTTGGTGGCGGCGGCGGCTCGCGCACCGATGATGTCTCGTCGGGGAACGCCGCTATAATGCGCATTACTTCGCTGTTTCTTTGAAAATTAGTAAAGAACACAGAAACTACTTCTCACCTACATGGGCATTTGCCAGGCACTCTTTGGCATTTCGATTAGTTTCTAAACACACCACGTCACTCGGCTCTCGCCAAATCACCCGGGGGGGTGCGCCCGGTTATCGCCAGGATCTCGCAAGCTAAGCGGGGGGTGGTGGTAGAGCCTGGCTAGCGCTCGGGGATTGCTGGCCGACACGCGCCGTTGTCAAGAGTGCAGCCGCGGTGGGCTACGTGGCGAGCAGCCGTTGTATGCTACCTCTATGCTCCCGCGTCTATGCACAATAGCTTAGCCAAGCCGCACGGACCAGCGAGGCGAAGTGTGGCCAAACGACCGCCACAGCCTGCACGGTTGTGCGGGGGAGGTCCGTCGGTCAGCAGTGGACAAACAGAACGGGCTCCACGTGGACAGTGCCGGATTATCCTGGTAGCAAAAGTAGCTGCACATGCTACGGGCCCCGCACTTCCAAGGGCCCCGCGCTAAATGCTTTCAAGCTAAAAAACCAAAGAGTATGAATCCTTGCAGTCACGAAAACTTCAAATCGAGAACTAGCAATTCCGGTTCAGCGATTCTGCACTTGCTCTATTACTATAGTACTATACCGCCTTCGACTTTTATGAACGACTGGGTGTTTAAGGTTAGTGATTTGTCGTATTATTTGGCTGTATAGCAAATGAAAAAATACAATTACTTTATTATGCAAGTACAAATTTTGCGTCTTTTAATACTTACGTGTTTTTAAAATTTATTTTAGGGCCCCTTCATAACATATGCTACAGGCCCCGCACGAGCTTCATCCGGCACTGGGCGCACCGTTCAAAACGTGCATCACGTCGCCGTGTCTCTGAGGATTCCACTGCCGGTTGCCGCACGCCGGAGGGAGAAGCTCGACGAATGAAGGCAATTCTGGAAAGGGGTTTGGGGGATGTTTTGGAAAGAGGCCAAGAATTCGCTGTGAAACCTTCCACTTGACAACTTAATCATCAAGGCGGTGGGGTGGTGGGGGCGGGAGGGGGGCGCACGAATGAAAGAAAGAAGAAAGCTGAAGCTCGAACACGGCAGCTTGCGAGCTTGAGTCTGGCCGCACTGACATTGTGCCGAGGAGGACCAAACGGAGATGGCGAGCGACGGGGCCGACAGCGGCGAAACATTCCCCATACCGCCCTCCACTCCCCCCCCTCTCAAATCCCCAGCAGCTGTCTGAGAGCCGCGAGGGCGCGAGTGGACAGGGCGCCGAGCCGCTCGGCCGCGGCGCCCAGGAGCGCGCCGAGCGCGGCGCAGCCTCCGCCGAGGGGCAGCGACCTCCCCGCGAGCTCCGCGACGTGCGACAGGAGGACGCACGCCTCCTCCCACAGGTAGCAGGTCGAGTTGCGCGCCTCCTCCCACAGGTAGAGGCACGCGCCGTTCAGCGGCTCGCAGACGCAGCGGCGGGCCTGTGCCAGCGCCGACGCCGACGCCGACACCGGAGGGTCGGGAGCGCAACCGCACAGGAGCACCGAGGCGGCGAGCGCCAGCAGCAGGGGCGCCAGCAGCAGCAGCGGAGCGGCGAAGGGGGACGGCGGAAGGGCGAACCGCGGCCGCTCGGCGGCGCGCCAGATCTTCGGGATCCCGCCGGGGAGGTCGAGCGCGAAATCCCTCGTCGCGTTGCCAGCCCCGGCCAGGGCTGCCCCGCAGCGCGAAACGACGGCGGCAGCGGCGACGGCGAATCCCGCGGGGCGGCTCGGGGCCGCTTCCTCCGGCGCTGCCGGCAGCCGCGGCACGGGGGCGTCCGCCAGGCCGCGCAGGGCCACGTCGGCCCAGTCCCTGAGCAGGTAGTCCTGGGCCCTGGGCAGCTCGGGAAGGTCCAGCGTCGCCGACGGGAGGGCCTCGCCCTGCAGGGAGGCCACCTTCTCGCGGAAGCTGCCCATCTGCTGGACGAACGTCAGCGGGTCCGTCACCTCCACGAGAGCCGCCGCCAGAGCCAGGGCCTCCTGGCGGTCCAGGATCATCTGCCGGAGGCGGCGGATCCGCGGCGCCGTCTCGTTGTCCAGCGACGCGCCGAGCTCCCCGAGGTAATCGAGCACGGAGATCCGCTTCTCGCTCAGCGTCCGCTGCAGGCCGTCGAAGTAGGCGGACACAAGGAGCGCGTCGCACGCGATGGCCTCCTGCACCGTGGCCTGCACCTTCTCCAACCTCTCGAGGCGAGAGCGAGCCAGCTGCCACCGGTCCTCCTCCTGCACGGACGGCGAGGACACGCGGACATCGCGTCAACGTCGTTACCCCCCCCCACCTACCCGATCGCTGTCCAGGCTCCAAAGCTGCTTGGCTTGCCAAATCGGGCACATCTCTGGGCCGGTCGGTCGTTGGCGTGCGTCTGGATTGCTCCTCGTTGTTTGGCCGGGCAGCGCTCGTCAGGGTTCGAAAAATCTCACGCAGAAGCACCCGAGATGTGCTTCTGTGTTTTTGACAGTTCGGTAGGGCCACGTGGGTCGTGTCGCAAACACTGCGTCACTGCAGCTCACAAATCTTCCTTGGCGTGTGCCTGGCCCCCAGTTCGAATGTGAGTGCGCGTTTACTTGGAAGGGAGTGGAGGAGGGAGGGGGGTGCGAGGATGGCAAATTGTGTCTCGCCACGGCTCTGCAATTGAACCCCAACCACCCGAGTTCAATTCCCCGTCGTGGCTGACATCAGCGGCTCAGCCCCACGCGTCCCGGCTCGAGCCTCCACAGAAGCACGCCGAGGCTCTCACCCTCAAAGACGTTTGTGGCGAGCAACCTCTGCCCCCCACCACCTGCCCCTCCACCTGCTCCCCCCACCTGTCCCCCCACCTGCCCCCCCCACCTGCCCCCCACCTGCCCCCCTCACCTGCCCCCCCACCTTCCCCCCCCACCTTCCCCCCCCACCTGCCCCACCTTCCCCCCCACCTTCCCCCCCCACCTGCCCCCCCCACCTGCCCCCCCACCTGCCCCCCCCACCTGCCCCCCCACCTGCCCCCCCACCACCTGCCCCCCCACCTTTCCCCCCCACCTTCCCCCCAACCTTCCCCCCCCACCTGCCCCCCCCACCTTCCCCCCCCACCTGTCCCCCCCACCTATCCCCCCACCTGCCCCACACCTGCCCCCCCACCTGCCCCCCCCACCTGCAGGGCAAGCTGCAGGTTGTGCAGCAGCCCCCGCTGGCGCTCGGCCTCCGAGTCGAGGGCGTCGATGCGGTGGCCGCGGTGGGATCCCCGCGTGAGGCAGCGGCCGCACGCGAGGGCGCAGCAGTCGACGCACAGCACGTTGAGCGGCTCGCCCGCGTGCTCCGGGCACGGCGGCGCGGCGCCGTCTCGCTCCGTCTGGCCAACGCACGGGGGCACCCGGGGGGGGGCGGGGGGCGAAGATAGGGGGCATAACATTTTTTTTGGGGGGGAGGGCAGCGCTTTGTCCCTCACATTAGTAATCGTGGGTGCTTATAATTAAAAAATAAAATTAATAGAAACTAAATAAAATAATAAATCAATGTTTCTATTAATTTTATTTTTTACCAACGTGACTTTACCGAATCCTTGCAGTCACCAAAGCTTCAAATCCAGAATGCTTATGATTAATTTATTTTTAAGCTTCATCGTCCCGTTTGGGTTGGGGCGTTGCTCCCCCACCCCGTACCCCGCCCCCCCCCCAAAGTCCGCCCATGGGGGGCCCCCTGTTGCCCCCCCCCCCCCCCGAGTTCCTAAACAACCCTGGGACTCCGTGGACGGCACTGGCTCGTGAATGTCTCCACCGTTGTGCGCAGGACGGTGGCGACATCGCCGGCCCGGATCGTCGCCATTCTGGAACCCGCGAATTCTGCTCGCCGCGAATTGAGCCGCGGATGCCGCTCTCACCTCGTCGAGGAGCGCGAACCATCAGGCGGGCTACGGTCATCCTCGCAGCGACGGCTTGTGGCTGGCCGTCGAACGAAGACGGTCACCGCACCGCGCGCTTTCAGACGCGCTTTCGCGGCCGTCTGGAACGCTCCTCCTTCCGATATTAGGAAGCCACTGGAGCTATGCACTTTTAAGTTATATCGATTCAAAATTCATTACTTTAGAAGTTATTTTTGTCTTCAGTTGGTGGTCCTTCCTCCGCACCGAGGATTAGCACGGTTGGCTACGTACGGTGCGAAAAAAGTTCAACACATACATAGATATACATGGTAAATCGCCTGACGAAGCTGGTTGTAATCACCAGCAGAACGTCGCACTCAAATTTTAAATGTTGTGACGGGTTTGCTCTCCAGTACACCGGTGTGCTGAGAGCGGTAGCTAATCGTCACGTTTTGTTTACGTGACAAACCTTTACTCATTGCCCTTTGGTTCTTTCGGTAAAGTCACGTAGGTATAAAATAAAATAAATCACGACGTTTCGGGCGCAACACAAGCGTCCGTCATCAGGTGGGAAAGCCCCTTTTATTTTCTACCTACGTGACTTTACCGAAAGAACCAAATAGTATGGATTCATGCATTCATGAAAGTTTCCAATCAAGATTAAACCTTTACTCATTGCCCTGTGTCGCGTGGTGACGGGTTACGCGATCTAACCGCCCACCTAACAACAAAAAAACTAAACGTTTTATTCTGAGTACATGTGACGGACGTGCGGCCACGTCTCTCACGGAGCCCGCCCGCCCGCTCGCTCGCTCCGAGTGTGTCTGCGGTCATCCGGGGAGACCGAACGGATCTCTCCGGCGATCGTCGCGAGCGCGTCGTGCTCGGGGCACACCGAGGTACGGTACTTGTCGACGATGTTGCGCAGGGAGAAGTTGACGGGCAGCGAGGTGAAGCCCGTCAGGGGCAGCTCGCACACGTGCCGGCACGACGGGCACTTGAAGGGAGTCCGCAGTGGACGCCACGGGGACAGGTGCAAGGACCCCTGCCAAGGTGGCAAATGTTCCAGTGAGCGGCGACAATTATGATTAAACCTCAATGATAAAAAAAAATGTTTATTAAACTATTTATTATTATTTTACCAGGTACAGTAAGTTCCATTGAGCTACATGGTAGACAACAAATTAAATTGTTGTGCTGCACTTCTATGCTCCCACGTCTAAGCTCCCCGCACTGAGCAACGTAGTGAAACATTTTACCCTTTCTATTGTTATTTTACCAGGTAAGGGGCACTGGACTACATGGTGGACAGCAAATTAAATTGTTGTGCTGCACTTCTATGCTCCCACGTCGAAGCTCCCCGCACTGAGCAACGTGGTGAAACATTTTACCCTTACTATTGTTATTTTACCAGGTAATGGCCACTGGGCTCTGCAGCTCTTGTTCAGAAACAGCCTGGCCAGAAGTGATGGCTCAACGAAGTGGCTTATCACGTGGAGAATTAATCGCAGCCAAATATTTAAATATCCCAGACGCGTGTTTCTAAATGTGAAAGGTCAGCCCCTGGGAGGCGGTGAGTAGGGGGAGGGGGTCAGGCAGCAAGCGGCTTCTCGAATCGCCAATCGGATCCCGGCACCTGCAGGATGTCCTCCAGGCAGCCGCGGCAGAACGTGTGCGAACATGGCAACACCCGCGGGTCTTCGAACAGCGAGTAGCACACAGGGCACGTCAGCTCCTCCTCCAAGAAGTTCATGTCCGTCTGCCGCAGGGCGTGGGGGGGGGGTCGAGCAAAGGTCGAGGGTGCGCGAGCACGCCTGCTGAGGACCAATCCACACGAAGACAAACGACACGATGGGGTGACCCCCCTCCCTCGTACGGCCTTCACAAGACCGGAGTTGTAGTTGGGGCCACGTGGCGGTGTTGTCCGTGCCACCGCAGCACGCACGGGGACCGGGAGTTCAAGGGTCGGCTGCTTCGAAGGGCAATCGTGGAAATACAAACCAAGGCTATGATCCACATTAAAGATTCACGAATTCCGCGACTGGTGAAGCCCAAACCGTCAAGGTATCGCCGACGAGTGCGCCATCCACGCACACCCTGGAGATATCGCTGCCATCCGTACAGCATCTACTGCCGCCTTGGATTGGTTGAAGGGCCTTATCATTCAACTATGACATCATCAATACAATCCGTACAGCATCTACTGTCGCCTTGGATTGGTTGAAGAGCCTTATCATTCACCTATGACATTATCTATACAAACTGTTGCTTACATGCCATACGAAAAAATTAGAAGACGACTACAATCGACGGATGATGCCGATGGTGTCCCCAAGCTCGGCCCATCACCTCCCGTCCAGCGGCACACGTGGAAACAGAGCCGGCAATTTCCCCTATTCATACGATCAGTCGCGTAATCCAACTGATGAATTAATCAATTCAATAACCGGATGGTGGGTTGGTGACTATGAACTTTTTTTATTTGACCAGGTAAGGCGTACTGAGCTATGTAACTTGTTTTAAAGAAGCGACCTGGCTATGACAAACGATAGCTCAACGGAGTTGGCTCATCATCTTGTGGAAATTCATAGCGGGCCCAATTCTCCGGACGCGTGTTTTTAAATGTGGAGGGGAAAACTCCAGAGGACGTGGAGAAAAATCCACCCGTACCACGGGGGAGGGAAAGAGAGAGAGAGAGCGAGACGCCGCAAACTCCAAATATACAGCAGGCGCGGCCAAATATAACGAGGAGAGGGAAGGGAGGCTGGGACGTATGTCCCCGAGACGGAGAAAGAGGAGGGCAAGGGCCCAGGATGAGCAGCAGGGAGAGAGGAGGAGGAGGAGGCGGAGGACTGAGCGCCGGACAGGAAAGGGGAGAAGGGATGACCGGGTCAAGATGTCAGGGATGAGAGGGGGATGATGATGATGATGGAGGGAGACGAGAGAAGGGCGGGAGCGAACTGCACGCAGCAGTGGCGTCTGTTTTCACAGGGAGCGGCGGGGGAGAGGGGAGGGGGTTCACGGTGGGGGTGGCGACATCGAAGTCACGTCATTTACGGAATACTTTAGCTGATTTAGATTCTGTTTAGAGCAGTGGTTCTTAACATTTACTGCAGAATGCACCCACCCCTTTGGTTCTCAATCGTAATTGTTTTTTTTACAATGTTAACAAATACATAGGGTTTGATGAAACTATGTAATGCCCGTGCTTAATTTGTGTTTTCGATTATTTACCTCCTAAAAAGCGTTGGCACGTCTCGCACCCACAGAAATGGCATCTCGCACCCCCAGGTTAAGAGCCACTGGTCTAGAGAGATATCGGTGAGAGGGATTCAGAGTTGGGGGTGGAAACACAGAAGTCACGTGATGTACTGGAGGCTTGCCCAGATGTGCCGAGAAGTTACGCTGAAGTGTTCATGTTGGCAGCATTGAAATGCACGTACGCTGGACTTCTTTCGCACCGTGCGTAGCCAACCGTGCTGACCGGAGGTGCGATTATCACGGTAGCTTCACAATAAACTCAACTCCCAACGTCACCATCATCGTCATCTTCATTGCGACACGACAAGCAGCTGGTACCGCAGGGCAGCCGCTTGGAATCTGCGGCCGCGCCGCCTGCGCGCACATCACCCGTTGCGCAATTCTCTCTCGCGATCTGACCAACCGCAGCCCTCGCTGTTCCTCAAGAGCGCAGCAGCTGCAGTGATGATGATGATGATGGAGATGCGTGTGTGTTGAACTTCTTCCGCACCGTACGTAGCCAACCGTGCTAATCGGAGGTGCTGGGGGAAGGACAAGCTAAACACAACAAACGCAGTTCTAAAGAAATTAGTTTTCAACCTAGATTATTTAATAGTGCAGAGCTCCCAGTGACTTCCTAACTTCGGAAGGGAAGAGCGTTCCAGACGGCCGCAGAAGCTCATCTGAAAGCGTGCGATGCGGTGACCGCTGCGAGGATGACCCAAGTTCGGGTGATGGTTTCTACTCCTGGACGAGATCATCGAGGCATCGTGGTTCAATTGTGGCAATCACTTTGTGTGCGACCTTATAACGCTGCATTCGTTCGGCAACCGGGAGTCAAACCGAGTGGAGCGAGAAAGCAGAATGGGACGGAACCTGTGGCCGACGAACCTGGGCACACATCGATCGCCACACCGCCCGGTAAAGCCAGACTCACACCACCGCCAAGCCAGCACAGCAGCGCCTTGCGTCCCACCAAGACACCGAGACGGAGTCACTGTGGGCCGCATTCTCTCTCTCTCTCTGATATTGGGAAGCCACTGGCAGCTATGCGCTTTGAGATCTCGATTGAAAACTCATTCCTTTAGAGCTGCTTTTGGTGTGTTTAGATTGTTCTCCTTCCCCCGCAACTCCGATTAGCGCCGTTGGCAACGTACGGCGCGAAATAAGTTCAACATACTGTACATACATTAGCTCTCTGATCTGTTTTCTGGCTGCACCGCGTGTCGTTCGGAGTTATGTCCGACGTTTTGCTCCGCGGAGTGGAAGCTTGTTCAGCAACGGGACGTGGAAGCTCATAAGCACAAATTGTAACGTCACCATGATCTGGAGCTCTCACAGTATCGATAGCTGAATCGGGTTCCTGACGAAGGCTCCCACCCAGCACGTGCAGCGAAACGTCGGACACCACGCCGAAGCACACGCGGTAGCAACCCGAGAGAGATAAAACGTCGGTCGGTGGACCTATACAGAATCGGAATATTTATTTGTACTCGAGAAACCCGATGAGCTATGAAGCTCTTTGTTCACAGACGTCCAGGAGGGGCAGGTCGTCACGTTTCAACAACAAGCAACACGAACACCAGACATGAGTGCAAAGTATGGGACAGGTAATTAAATCACGTACCAAAAAATATACAAATAAAACTAAGCGCCTTTTGGCGTCCTCTGGTCTAACGCCGTTTTGAGATGAGGCTCAAAAGAAAGCTGTCTCTGGTGTGGAGCAATCAGTTTCAAAGACAATGCATATGCTATCAGAGCATTTTTAGTTTGCATTCTAACCACAAGTATTGTGGTTAATGCAGACATGATTCCTTGTAAAAGGTTTCAGTTTGCTGTTTTAACATCTTAACACCTGTTTTGTTGCCAGAAAAAAGGGGAAAATCTATTCTCAAAACGAAGTGATGTATTTTTTTTACTTATCAGATAAAGTCCACTTGAGCGATTTGCTTATTTTTCAGAAGCGTTCCTGCCCACAAACGATAGCTCAACAAAGGTGGCTGGTCATCATCACGCGGACATTTGTAGCGGGGAAAAACCCCAATCCAAAACGCGCAACCCCGCGATCCGCGAGCCGACGTGGCCAAAAACCAAACAAAACTGACGATTGTTTAATTCTTCACGACTGAAATTCGGTGACAAATTTGTATTTTCACACCATCACAGCCCGCAACGGCAAATCACCACCCCCAGAGGGGGCCAGGTTAGGGGATCTCGGCAAGACCACAGCCCTGTCGCTCTGCGCTGCTGCATCCAAGTCACCGTCCGTGCAGGCCCCATCACTGAACTCACCCTGCCGATGTGTCCTCCTCTCTGGCAGTCGCAGCAGAGCAGCCGGCCCGGGTACTGCGAGACGGGGAATGTAATCGGCGCAGCTGTCTCATGAATCTCATAACAGACAGCGCGCAAAAGGCAAAGATGCCCCGTATAGCTTTGAACAGACTGTTGGGGCAAGTGCTGTTAGCGAGCGCCTATGAAGGCCGGCACGTGGCACACGAGGGGGTGGGTGGCCAACACCGCGCACATGCACACACACGCACGCGTGCGTGAGTTCGTCCAGCGAAGAAGTAGAGGGGGTGGCTCCTAGCTGGACCGCGGCACGTCGGTGGGACATGTCACAGCAAGTGACGCTTTCGCGACACGCTATAAATTATGGGCCGCGGTATTTTATTAAGTCTTCAGCACTCGCGGCGCGCTGCGAGAAGCACGTGGATTTGCCTCGGCCCCTTTGACTGACACACGGCGACGCGAGATCGCGGAGGCTCTTGCACGACGCGCGTGCACTACCGACAAAGACAAAGACTCCCCGTGTAGCCTCAAACAGACTGTTGGGGCAAGTGGTGTCAGCGAGCAACCGTGAAGGCTGGCACGGTGCACACATAAAAGGGTGGGTGGCCAGCACCGCGCCTGGCCGCCTTTGTCTCCCCAGTGGCGATGTTCACACGCCGCACCGGGTACTCATTTGAGGCCGAGTCGACCTAGAGTGAGGCCCAGGACCGCTTCAGATTTTCGTCACCGGTTTTGGCCGTGAACGAATCGAACCCGGGTCGCCAGGTTTGTAACGCAGCGTGCGCGCCATTCGTCGACGCCATTCGTCGACGACACCGCGGGCCCCAAGAGGAACAAATATTGGGGGACGGTTCGGGCAACGGTCCTGCTGCACAGCAGCGAGATCGAGGGAGGTCGCGTTCTATCCAGGGCACCGCGCGCCGCCTGCTTGGTACGACGATGCCTCCATCCAGCAGTGGACTGAGCAACCCAGCTGTGCACGTGCGATGCTCGGAGTTCTACGCGTGTAGTGACATCGCGGGATGTCAACGTGCAGTACCGGCCCTAGAGGGGCCCGGTGAGCGCTGATTGATAGCGCTGGATGGCACCATGCTTGGCGTGCAGTGCCAGCCCCTACAGGACAGGGTGTGTGGGTGCCGGCCGTATGATGAGATTACTAAAGGCCATGGCACTCTGGTTGACCCGAGAGGACACGTGACCAGTTAAGTCTACAAAGGGGCCCCAAGTCGGGGCTAGGGGTGGTCACGTGGTTGGGATCGAGATCCTTCCCGAGGATTTTGGAAGGTGGTCGTGGCGGAGCCGGCCACGCCGCAGAGAAGATAAGCCGGGTCCCGAGAGGGACCAGGGTGGTTGTTCATCCTGGAAGAAACCTTCATCTACGCTCTACGTTCAACGAGTCTCCAACACGTGGACCTGTAATTAGTGTAGCTAGCCTGGTAGTCACCACCATAGGTTGTTATTCTGTTAAGGGGACGTTACCCTGTGTGTTGCAGTTGAATAAATGGGTTGCCTCCAAGTATACGTCTGCGACTCAGTTAAACTCACTACACGCGTGTCGGTAAATTTCACCTTCTCGGCGGCACGGCGAATCGGGGACGATTGCCCCGGTCCCCGTGCTTTGGGGGGGGGGGGTGACCGGGGGATTTGCTCAGGGTCCCGCACCCCCTCCTATGGATGGCCCTGCCTCGAAGTCACATTGTCGACGCAAAGAAGGCCCCCGCCCTGCTGCTATGCGCCTACTCATGTCCATGCACACCATGGGCCATGCTCCTATTATTGACACATTCGGTGGTAGCGGCGGTGTGGCTATCGAGTGTGCAGGCGGTGCAACTGCGCCAGGGCCCACGGGCCGGAGGGACTCAGGTGCCGGCCTATGAAGATTTCGTGCAGAGAGTGTGGGGGATGGGGGGGGGGGATTTGGACAGGGGGGTGGGGGAGAGGGGGATTTCTCTCCTTGCACCAGGGCCCATGCCAACAAGGCTGCATCTCTCTGGCTTCGGAGTGTGTTGGTCCCAAGTCCAATTGTAGGTATGTATGTTGAACTTCTTTCGCACCGTACGTAGCCGACCGTGCTCGTCAGAGGTGCGGGGGGAAGGACAACAGATACTAAACACAAAACACGCAGTACTAAAGAAATGAGTTTTCAATCGAGATGATTATTTAAAAGTGCGTAAGCTTCAGTGGCTTCCTCATATCGGAGGAGCGTTCCAGACGGCCAGCAGCAGCGCCTCTGAAAGCGCCGCGCGATACCGGTGAGCAATTGCGACGCGAGAAGGATTGGCACCAGGCAAAACATGGATATGCAGGCGGTCGTGAAACTTTCGCCAGACTGATTTATACTGCGCCTGCAGAACGTTTGATTGATGCAGGCACAACAAGAGGCAAATATTTTTGCGTGTAACGATTTCGACCTTACAATGGGAGGCAAATCAACCACCCAGATTTAGAAGATGCTCACATACCATCGACCACACCAACAACAACAACACACATGCACGCATGCACGCCATCCATCAGATTCTATTCGACGCAAACGAATACAATGCACCCAACGTTATAATAGCAATGCATTATGCCCTATATGTAACGTTTCATATATATGAACACAATGCACATGTAATACTGAGAACAATCGCGTCTGTTGCCGGGTGCGAACCACCACAGATCTTACCACGTTCACGGTGCCCCTCGGGTAATTGGTCGCCTGCTCGAGTACAGTGTTGGAATTCAGCACCGACCATACGCATGCCAGAGCTAAATATAACATTCGAGCAAAGCAAGGCAGCTGTCAAGCTTGTGGGATAGTCTCCGTGGCCGGACGCGTGATAAACGTTTCGGAGTGTTCAGCGTTCACGCGAGCTTCTCGGCAAACTTGACGGTGCCTTCCTGCGTCCCATCGGACTCGGGCACACGAGTGCGCGCACATAGTTACGTTAAGAAGCTCGGTGTCAAAAGCGACGATTATTCACTATGTTAACACAATTTTTGGTCCTGGGTAGTAAGTGTGATTTCGTAATTGCTAATGCCTGAAAAGTATAGAAAATGGCAATTATTCTCCATAAACTTTGCTTTTGTGACCAGGATAGTGATATTTTGAAATTGACCTGATTTTCAATGGGAAAAAACTGGCCAATTTGTGTCTTTTCGTTCACATAGTCAGAAAAAAAACACATGCATCAAAATGAACATGTATTTATACTAAAGTAATACAAAAATGACTACAAAAGATTTAGAAGTTAGTAGTTTTACAAGATTTAAGATTATACTGTAAATCACTTTTACGAATCAGCCCCAAAAATGTAGTCTCCCATCATGTTCTCGTTATACCGTCCTTGGTAGCAGCGTTCAAAGTCCAGTATATCCTGGTGGAAGCGCTCACCTTGCTCCTCCGAGTACGCTCCCATGTTCTCCTTGAATTTATCAAGATGAGCATCAAGGATATGGACTTTGAGGGACATTCTACAGCCCATTGTGCCGTAGTTCTTCACCAGCCTCAACCAGCTCCACGTAGTTTTCGACCTTGTGATTGCCCAGGAAGCCACGAACCACTGCGACAAAGCTGTTCCAAACCACTTTCTCCGTACTAGTGAGCTTCTTGGGGAATTCATTGCACTCCAGGATCTTCTTTATCTGTGGTTCGACGAAGACACCGGCTTTGACCTTTGCCTCAGACAGCTTAGGGAAGTAGTCTTGAAGGTACTTGAAGGCTGCTGACTCCTTATCTACAGCTCTGACAAATTGTTTCACGAGGCCCAATGTGATGTGCAGTGGTGGCATCAGCACCTTCCGGGGGTCCACCAGTGGCTCCCACTTGACGTTGTTCCTCCCCACAGAGAACTCGGTCCGCTGTGGCCAGTCACGCCTGTGGTAGTGCGCCTTGGTGTCTAAATCTTTTGTAGTCATTTTTGTATTACTTCAGTATAAATACATGTTAATTTTGATTCATATGTTGTTTTTTTCTGACTTTGCGAACGAAAAGACACATTGCAAACAGGTACAACATTTCAAAATATCACTGTCCTGGTCACAAAAGCAAAGTTTGTGGGGAATAATAGCCATTTTCTGTACTTTTGAGGCATAAGCAATTAGGAAATAACACTTACTATCCAGGAACATAAAAAAACGTGTTACACAGTGTTCTGCGCACTCAATCTGAAACCCGGCTCAGCACGGGAGACGCGAGTAACGCTGCGGTGGTGAGATGTTAGCTACCTCGTCTGGTACACAGAAGGTCGTGGGTTCGATCCCGACCCTTACGCCTGCTGTATATGTGGAGTTTGCGTGTCTCTCTCTCTCTCTCCCCTTGGTCGCGTGGAGTATTTTCCTGCTGCTATGTCTACATGATAAGCCACTTCGTTGAGCTATCATTTGTGATAGCCAGGTCGCTTTTGAAAAATAATTACACAGCTCAGTGGGCCTTACGTGTATAATATAAACATTATGAGCTTAATGATCAGTACGTAAGGTCAAAAAGGGTTTGCATACTTGAAAAAAGTGATGTAGGCTCTGGTTTAACGCCATACTCTGGCAGAGGATTTGGCCGGTGTTCAAGAGTCTAAGTGCAACTCTACGCACTAAACTTGCATTCTATATTTGATCATCTTTTAGGGAGCTGCAGTTGCACCCCCCCCCCCACTCTCAGCCTTAATTGGAAAGCGTCAAAAGCAAGGGGCACGTGTCTGCCAGCGTGTGTGTGCCTGTGTGTGCCAGCATGTGCCTCTGTGTGTGCCAGCGTGTCTGTGTGTGCATGTGTGTGCCAGCGTGTGCGTGTGTGTGCCAGCGTGTCTGTGTGCCTGTGTGTGTGTCAGTGTGTACATGTGTGTGCATGTGTGTGCGTGTGTGTGCGTGTGTGTGCCAGCGTGTGCCTGTGTGTGCCTGTGTGTGTGCCAGCGTGTCTGTGTGTGCCTGTGTGTGTGCCAGCGTGTGTCTGTGTGCCTGTGTGTGCCAGCGTGTGCCTGTGTGTGTGCCAGCGTGTCTGTGTGTGCCTGTGTGTGTGCCAGCGTGTGTCTGTGTGCCTGTGTGTGCCAGCGTGTCTGTGTGTGCCTGTGTGTGTGCCAGCGTGTCTGTGTGCCTGTGTGTGTGCCAGCGTGTGCCTGTGTGTGCATGTGTGTGCATGTGTGTGCGTGTGTGTGCCAGCGTGTGCCTGTGTGTGCCTGTGTGTGTGCCAGCGTGTCTGTGTGTGCCTGTGTGTGTGCCAGCGTGTGTCTGTGTGCCTGTGTGTGCCAGCGTGTGTCTGTGTGTGCCTGTGTGTGCCAGCGTGTCTGTGTGTGCATGTGTGTGCCTGTGTGTGCCAGCGTGTGCCTGTGTGTGTGCCAGCGTGTCTGTGTGTGCCTGTGTGTGTGCCAGCGTGTGTCTGTGTGCCTGTGTGTGCCAGCGTGTCTGTGTGTGCCTGTGTGTGCCCGCGTGTGTCGGTGTGTACATGTGTGTACATGTGTGTGCCTGTGTGTGCCAGCGTGTGCCTGTGTGTGCTTGTGTGTGTGCCAGCGTGTGTCTGTGTGTGCCTGCCACGTGTCTGTGTGTGCATGTGTGTGCCTGTGTGTGCCAGCGTGTGCCTGTGTGTGCGTTTTCAAAAGCTTCAGAAAATAGTATCACCTACCAATGGCAAAAAAAAACATTTGCTATACGGTTACACTTTCTAAGCAGCACTGCTCATAATAACACCGTGCAGTATACAATACAACGTCTACCATGTCGCGGGCGCGGGGGAGACCTGCACTGTGCCATGAACCCAGCTAGCTGAGCTGGCTTGCTCGGCCACGGCTAACATCAGTGCCGGATGAAGCTCGTGCGGGCCCTGTAGCATGATGTTATAAAGGGGCCCTAAATAAAATAAAAACATTAAAACACGTACATTTTTTACTTGCATAGTAAAGTAATTGTATTTTTTCATTTGCTATACAGCCAGATAATACGACTAATCGCGAACCTTAACCACCCAGTCGTTCATAAAGTCGAAGGCGGTATAAGTACTATAGTAATAGAGCAAGTGCAGAATCACTGAATTTATAGCTTGAAAGCGTTTAGCGCGGGGCCCTTGAAAGTGTGGGCCCCGTGGCATATGTAGCTCCCTTTGCTTTTAGGATAATCCGGCACTGGCTAACATTAGTGACAAGTGGTATCTGAATCGGTGCTGGGCAGAGCAGGGCAGAGCACCCCCCCCCCCCTCTTCACCTCCCTGCCACCCATTTCAAGCCGCACTTGGTGAGATAGGGTCAAACACACCCCACGACCCATATGCCGGTGGGGGAGGGGGGGGAGTCCATCAATCAGTTGACTGACAGGATCGGTAAGTTAAACCACGAGATCCTACAATCTACGAATAATGCCGATGGCATCACCAAGCCCGGCCCATCACCTCCCGTCCGTCCAGCGGCACACGTGGGAACAGAGGCGAGACTTTCCCCGATTTATACTATCGGTCGCGTAATCAAACCGATAAGCGAAGTAATCAATGACATAACTGGATGGCGCAGTGGTGACTATCAACTCTTTTGTATTTCAGCAGGTGAGGCCCACTGGGATATAAAGCCCTTTTACTGGTAGGAACGAAGTGGACCAGACCACCAATAGATTAATGTGTCCGTCCGTCCGTCCGTCCGTCCGTGGGAGGGGTGGTGTTGAGGGTGGTGTTGGAAATGAAAGACTACGAGTCTTTAAATCTCACAGCGTTTCTTGTCAAAACAAACACTTTTAATTAACGTTACACTAGAATACAGTATTTTTTTCTTTAACTCCTCTATACCCGGTCGATATCTCTGTACCGGTACTAAGTATTATTCCTACCAGCCCACCCCGCAGGGTCCTGTTTTTAGAAGCGACCTGGTTATTACAAATGATAGCGCAACGAAGTGGCTTATCGCGTGGGAATTTACAGCCGACAAATACTCTAAACGCGTCATGTTTGTGAATGGAGGGAAAACGGGGAGGACTCTGGGAAAAATCCACGCGACCACGTGGAGAGAGACACCGCAAACTCCAAATATACAGCAGGCGTCAGGGTCGAAAATCACTTGTGCATCACAGTAGCAAGTTGCTGGCTTCGATTTACAACTCGGGCACTCTTGCGTGTGGAGTTTGTATGTTCTCCCTGCACGTTTCCTCTGGGATCTCTGGTTTCCCCCAGTAGCTAAAACAAAAAAACCATACACTGTAACTGCCATTGGTTGGCCAAAAACATCCCAATTACTCAACATTGACTTTAAGCTTTTGTGACTGCAGGAATTCATATTCTTGGGTCTTTCGGAAAAGTCACGTAGACAGGTTCAAAGAAAATAACAAAAAACTACGACGTTTTGATCGCAACACAAGCAATCGTCATCAGGAGAAAAAATAGCGGTAAAGCTGAGGTAGGTTGTTTTAAAGGTTTAAAAAGGATGGAAAAACCTTTCAAACATCCTGCCTCAGCAGATTTCCCGCTATTTTTTCTTCCTGATGAGGATTGCTTGTGTTGCGATCAAAACGCCGTAGTTTTTTTGTTATTTTCTTTGACCTTTCCGAAAGACCCAAGAATACTCAATATTGCTCTCTTAACTGCAAAAAAAAGATTTGGAAAGGACCATTTGTCAAGACGTGTCTCGAGACTCATGTGAGGCTTTCCTGGGTAGACAAGCGTATAAAAAAAACCACGAACGGACGTCCCAACTCTACCGTTGTGAATGCATGGGGAGAGCGGGCAGGAAGCAAACACATATGAGCGTGTAAACCTCAAGTGCACCTTTATTGAAAACAACAAAACGCGGCACACTTCAGCACACGACGAACACGGCCGCTGCCCGTGTACGTCGCCGTAAATCGAAGGTTGCACGGCACAAAATACGGGGAGGGGGGAGGACACACACACACGAGGCCCCCTTCCAAAAAAAACAATCATCCTCAACACCACTTGCAGATTTCCTGCCAAAACACAGCACTGGAACTCCGCTGCGACGTCGTACAGCGGAGCTACGGGACGACACCATTTCGACGAGTTTAGAAAAGCGAGCCGGCCCGGGCAGGACGACGTCCTCGTCGTCGTCGCGAGATGGGGACGGTGGTGGCCGGCGGTCGACAACGAACCGCGGAGCGGCAGCCGAAGAGGGACCGTCTGTCACGGAGATGGAGCGGTGAAAACGGCCGGGTGGATCGTTACATCGTGGAAGATCGAAGGGAGGGCGACGGCCTGGGCAGGCCTCCACCCACAAGTGGCTTGAGCATGGCCGACGATAAGAATTAGCACTTAAAAAGTCGCTCGCACGCCACGGCAACTTCAATGTCCCTTGCAGCTCAGCCGTTCCCCCCCCACCTTCCACCGCGCAATGGCGGCTGTCCCTGTGCGGCACAAGGAGTACACAGCAGCAGCCTGCAGATGAGCATCCGTGTGCCAGTTGGGGGGCGACGACGAGGACGATTGCAGTGGTCCGGCACCGCTTCCTGTCGTTGCCGCCACAGTTTAAACGCACAAATGTGTAGATGCACAACCGTTCGTATAAACCGCACAGCGCAGCGGCGATTCACAAATACGGACACCACCGGCGTTCTTCTGTGATGCAATGACGCAGGCAGGTGGGGGCTCTTCCAGCGGCCGCGCTTTTCAAGTCACTTCCGCGCGAGGATCCTACCGCACGAGCCGCAAAGAATTTCACGCGGAAAAAAATCCTACATTTTTTTGTTCTACTTCACTCAGCCACTGCATTGGCTACGCACCTAACAGTATACGCTGCAGCGCAAGGCACTTGTAACTTGGGCGACAATTTAAACGTTTCGACGAAGGGGCCCACCCCTGGCGCCAACGTTTGTTGTTGTTGTTGCTGAGAAATTAAAATACTGTAAGAAATTTCGGAAATAAATGTATTCGACGGTCGCGTACGAGAATATAATAAGTAGAAGACGGCTCGAGCCAGCGCTACACATTGCGGGCAAGATGCCTTTGTACAACCATCAAACACTTTAAATACAGTCACTTTAACTATAGACACGCAAATCAATATCAATAACTGAGTGCACCCTGCGCACAGCTGGGTATCCACACACGTTTAGAGCAAACAAATGTTGCGTTGTAAAAAAAACAGCATTCGTTTGTATCTCTCGCAGAGGCGTGATACCACGGCCCACGGAAGTAGATGTCACAGAGCTACTTCCGAGATTCCTTTGTCACCTCTGGTCCACAGAGTAGGAGGCGGGAGGTGGGGGCAGCACTTTCACACCCGCTACACGTATGAGAGCAGTGTTTGTCGAGTGGCAGTCGAGCAGATACTTACTCTGCTAGAATTGAGCCAGGTTAAGTGCACAAATTTGATTCGATCAGATTTTTTTTTGTGGGTGCAGTCATTGGTCGATCGGTCCAACGACCTCGAAACTCACGACACTCGAGACATCGGTTTGATCACATGGCGCAGCGGCTCGCAACTGGGATTTGAACCCAAGATCTCGACGTTTGTACCCCGTGTGCGTGCGCCAGGAGGCCGTTTCTCTCATCAGGCGGTGAACATTTCTTTAAAGTGCAATTTCTTAATTAAAAGCCCATCTCCACGTAAGGGCGCGTTTCTAAATCTCCCCGTGAAGGCGTTTGGCCAAATGTTTTCGGTGTTGATCATTCGCAGGGGACTTGACGTGGAAAATTATCGCCAAACTGCCCATGGACGATCCTGTGCAACGCCAGCAATAATTTGATCGTCGTGAAATGTTTTACGTCAAGAAGTTAACCGTTTAGGCATTGCACATGTACACAACAACAATAACAACCGCCATCCGCCATTAAGTGGCGGTGACATCACGACAGCGCTTGTGCCAGGCTATGTGCACGTTGGCCTCAACATGAACAAACACACAGACTTACAAAGCAATAAATAGGTTAAATACGAAGTAAACATTTCCGCTCACCACGTCACACACTGGACATCTGACAACAGACTGTAAACACGTTACCGGCAGTTGGACTCGAAGACCCCCGCCAAAAAAACCCACCACAAACACAAGTGTCTTTGCACAATGCATCAGACAAATGTTTCAAGTGCACATATTAGGGCGTCCATTGGACGCGGCCGACTGCGAGCGACTTGCGGCATCGAGCAGAGAACGCCAAGCCCGCACGTCCCTTTCCAGTAGACGCACGCATGTTCGGCTGTGACCACGTGCCCGCACAGATTCGCAATAAGGAATGTGCAGTCCTGCAGTCTGCAATGCAGTGTTTGCGACACTAATGTGTGCCCGACCAGCTAAACGAGAAACTAAACTATTTTCTATTTGAGCAGGTAAGGCCCCACTGAGCTACACAGCTCTTTTTTTCAGCAGCGACCTGGCTATCACAAATGATAGCTCAACGAAGTGGTTTATCGCGTGGACATTTACAGCAGCCAATACTCTAAACTCATGTTTCTAACTGTGGAGGGGAAAAACCGGAGGACCCGGAGAAAAATACACACGACCACGGGGAGAGAAACACGCAAACTCCAAAGATACAGCAGGCGTCAGGGTCGGGATCGGAACTACGACCTCCTGTATACCAGGCGAGGGAGTTAACATGTGTTGGATTCCCTGCACACACTGAAATCGTCGTCTTCAGCAGCAGCAGCAGTAACTGCTGCATTTGCTGATCAGAAACCCGCGTCACGTGCCGTGCCCTTGCCTTCACTCCGTGCCACGTGACTTGGGGGCGCTTGAGAGACCGCCACCCGTAGTCACGGCTCCGTCTGGCTGCAATAAATGTCCACGTGATAAAGCCACTTCGTGGACAGGTCGCTTCTATAAAAGAAGCTAATAGCTCAGTGGGCTTTACCCGATGAAATAAAAGTTATATTTTTAGTGATCAGCTTACCTTTCCTATTCTTTGAACTCCTATCTTACTTTAGGAGTGTTTGTTGTAGTAACTTTCTGACCCGCCCCCTACTGGACACCTGTGAAAAAGAGGCTTATTGCTCATGGCATTCCTCCGGTATAAAGATTCTGACTGGTGAGCTACAATCACGTCACAGACGGCGCGTGAATGTTTATTCCGGTTCCGATACGAACGAGGGCGTGCGACCGCGCCAAGGGGCTGTGCAGCAACAAACGACAAGCGCTGCACGACTTTCACCGCGGTCCATTCAAACTCCGACGTCAAATCCTAGCCCCGGTGGTGCTGGCAAATTCCGCCATCGACAAAATCTGTGCCGGAGTGGCTGTCGAGCGCGCGCGGTGACCGCATCGGGGCCCCGCGGGTCGGAGGGGCCCAGGTTCCCGGGATGACGGCACGGGAACGCCACGAGCGAGAGCGCACCGGGGGAATGCGCCCCCCCCCCCCGTCACTGCTCGCCGTGCTGAGTGGGCGCGCGGGCCCCGTACGGCCCGGGCTGCAGCCCGTACGGCCCCTCGTGAAGTCCGTACGGCCCGTCCTGCAGCCCGTACGGCGGCGGGGCCGGCTCGCCGCCACCGCCGCCGCCTCCGTGCCACCGCTGCTGCTGCTGTTTCTGCTGCAGCTGCGGTGGCAGCAGCTGATGCAGCAGCGGGAGGTGAGGGCGGTACAGCTCCTGGAAGGGGTACAGCCCCAACGCCGGGTAGCCGTGCTGCTGCTGCGGGCTGGCCGTGTGCCGGGCAAGGTGCCCAGAGCCCACCGGCTGCCCGGCCAGACTCTCAATGGGGCCCAGAAGTTGGTGCGGGTGCTGGCTTGGCAGCGCTGGCGGCGGCGGCAAGGGAGGGCAGAGACGGGGAAACCCGCGATGGGGCTCTCGGCCCTGCGGCGGCTCGACGTGGCGCCTGCGCGCCGCTCTCTCAGCGTCGCACCCCGCGCGGAGAGGCGAGGCTCGAGGTGGGAACTCGTACGGCGGGATCGGCGGGCACTGTCGCCCAGCGCTCTGCGCGAGCGCCGCGGACGCTGGGGGGCGCGGCTCCTCCGTGGTCGCACCGAACTGCCGGCTCGGGACTTCGCGAGCGTCCGCGTCGACGCCGGCAGCCCGGCCCGACTCCGGCACGGCGGCTACCGCCTGCGGGGCGGCCTGGACGCGAGTGAACAGGGAGCACGGCATTCCTCGCAGCGCGTCGACGGGCGGACCTCGTGGTAAGCCACTCGACGCGTCAGATGCGCACGCGTCGCCGTGAAGGTTCCCGGCCGATGCCTCTCGGGCGTACGCCTGCACTGGCTCCTGCTTCAAATCCTGAATGCGATCCCGAGCGGGAACAGCCTCGCGCGCCCGAGCGAGGTGCTTGGCGTCACCCTGGCCGCTCTCCGTCGTCGCCGGCACCTGCGCTTCCTCCCCCGACAGATCTCCCTCCTTGCCGTCAACAGCCGGGGCCTCGCTCCCGGTCGTGCGAACGCGGCCAGACGTTCGAAACTCGGCGTCGCCCGCCGGTGTCTCGGCGTCGCCCCGACCGCTCCGGGCTGGGTCTTCGGTAAATCCCTCCGGAGCGCAACAATCGCTTCTCGCGCCTCTTCCCTCCGCGCCAGCCCCCAAGTCGGGGAGCTTGCGGGAGTCGGAAGCGTCGTCAGGCGTCGTGCGTCGCCCGCCCTCCGCCCCCTCTTCCTGGCGCTGCCGCCCGGCACGGCCGCCGCTGGCGGCATCGCCCCCGGGCGAATCCCTCACGGGCTCCGCGCGTGCGCCGCGACGGGGCTCATCCGCCGGCTCGCGCGCGGAGCGGCAGGCCGAGTCGTCGGCGTCTGCGGGAGCGAGCGTTCGTCCGGGGAAGCCGCGATCCGCGCCCACCGAGGCTCCGCCGCCGTCGCCTCCGCCAGCGGATCCCGAGAGCTCCTCCTCATCCTCCTTCTCGGACACCTGCGTGCACTGGTCGACTTCTTCCACGAACTCGTCCTCCGGTTCGCTCTCCAGTTTCACCCGCTTGGGCAAATACTCGTCCACCACGACGCAATCCGACTCGTCCCCGGGGCTCTCCTCCACCGCGACGGCTCGCGCACCACTCCGCCGCGGACGACGACGAGGAGGCGGGCGACGCCGAGGTGGAGGCGGAGGAGGCGGCGGGGCCGGCCCCCGCGTGGATTTGGAAGCGGCCTTCCCGCCCGGCTTCCTGGCGGCCCTGCTACGGGCCGAGCCCCGGGCGGCGGCGCCTCTCCGCGGCTTCCTCGCCGCCTCCGGCGCGGGGCAGTGGACGATCTGAACGGCGGGGTCCACCACGAAGTCGGTGGGCAGGTGCGCCATCTCGTGGTACTGCAGAAAGCAGCCGACGCGGCACAGGTGCACGTTGCAGATGACGCAGCCGTAGCTGCTCTGCACGCCGCGCCCCTTCGCCGTGCGGCATCCGCGGCGGCTGCACAGCACGCACACGCGCTTGCGCCCCGTGAACTTGACGCACACGTGCCTACTCAGGTGCTCGGTCGAGATCACCTTCTCGATGTCGCGCTTGCGCCGCGGCCGCTTCGCCGCGCGCCCCTCGGCGTAGCCGGCCACCAGCTGCTTGGCGAGCAGCAAGCGGAACTGCAGGTGGCTCGCGGGCAGCTTTGGGGGCGGCACGTTGCTCAGCCGGTGTACGGTGTAGGCGTTCGCCACGGCCGTGTTGACGAGCACGAAGACGAGGTGGCGCCACCACTTCTTGCCCTCGCGGCCCAGCGAGTAGCAGGTGCGCAGGTGCACGGCGGCGTCGGCGCCATCCTTGGACGCGTTGAAGTTGCCGACGGGCTGCGGCCGCTCGGGACACCCGCCGTCGGAGCAAAAGCCGGGCCTCTTCTGCGCCGGCTCCATGATCGGCCGGCAGTTGGTGGAGAGCGTGGTGATGCGCTTCTTCTCGCCCCACGCGCACGCCACCAGCTGCCCGCTCTGGCGGAAGTGCACGTCGCCCCTCCGGAGGCGCGCGTCGCGCAGGTCCAGCGGGAAGCCGCGGTGGTACGCGCGCACGGCGCCGCACGCGTACACCCCCCGGCGGAGCAGGTCGCGCAGCAGGCGGGCGCTCGTGAAGAACCTGCCGAAGTAGACGTGGTGGCGGTGGCCGCGCAGGCGGCGCGTCAGCTGCATCATCGTGTGGTGGCCCATGCCGTGCCGCATGATGTACTCGTCGGCGCCCGTGTGCACGAAGAAGGAGTGCACGTAGCCCGACGTGGCGCAGGCCGACATGAACACCTTGATGCCGTACTTGGTGGGCTTCGCCTCGGCGTACGGCGAGAACTCCATGGTGCCCTTGAAGCGGCACGTCGCCTCGTCCACGGTGATGTCGCGGAACGGCACGAAGTGCCGGTGGAACGCCGAGAGGAGGTGGTCGATCAAGGGCCGCACGCGGTACAGGGGGTCATAGCCCGCCTCGCCCTTCTTGGGCATCTTCTCGTCGTCGGTGAGGCGGAGGTACCTGCGCCCATCGCGCAACAATCGGAAGCGGAATGTTTATTTATGCTGGAGGAGTCCGATGAGCTATGAAGCTCTTTGCAAAGCGCGGCCAAAAGTCGCAACGCAAGTTTCCATTTTGCCTCAAAGGCCGGCCGAGCGAGCGGCAGCGCATTTGTCACCTGTCGCAGGAGTTTGTGCATCGAACGAGTAAACATCTTGGTGGACATTGCCGGTAACATCTGGCGGTCTGACTCTGTACATCGAGACTTTTGGGTGACAACCGGTTTGATTGTTTTGAATAAATACTGTTAAAATGATGCACTCACAGAAAGCTGTTGGCCCTATTGGCTGTGTAAATAATATTTTTTACGTAGAGACGGATTTCTGAAGGAGACGTAGTGTCCGATTATTTTGTCACGTACATTCTCCAAAACGGCACCGATGATTATTGTGCTATCCCGTGCGCTGGTGTCACGGTCAGGTATGGCCCACTGAGCTATGTAGCTCTTTTTCAGAAGCGACCTGGTCATCACAAATGATAGCTCTACTTAGTGGCTTATCATTGCGTGGAAATTTACAGCAGACAAACACTTTAAACGCGTGACGTTGATTCTAACGGTGGAGGGAAAAACCGGAGGTCCCGGAGAAAAATCCACGTGGCCACAGGGAGAGAGACACACAAACTCTAAATATATCAGCAGGCGTCAGGATCGGGATCGAACCCACGACTTCCTGCATACCGGGCGAGGTAGTCAACATCTCGCCACCACGACGCCCCAATGAAATGAAAAGCATTCATTGGAAGATCACTTTGAATTTTCTTTTTTTTACAGCATTGGAAAATGATTTAAGCGTTGCAGACTTGGATTTATCGCATGCATATTTATAGCACCCAAATATTCTAAACGCATTTTTCTAAATGTGAAGGGGAAAAACCGGAGGACCCGGAGAAAAATCCACACGACTGCGGGGAGAACATACAAACTCCAAATATACAGCAGGTGTCAGGGCCGGGATTGAACCCACGACCTGCTGTATACCGGGCGAGGTAGTTAACATCTCTCCACCTTGGTGAGATGTTAACGCACCCCCCTCCCCGCCGCCCCCCCCCCCCCCAGCACTTCGCTGACGAACGCACCGCATGAGGTTCTTGAAGCGGTTGCGGGACATGGCGCGCTGTATGAACTGGTTTCCCAGGCAGTCGTCGGTGGCCCAGTACTGGTTGAGCTCGGGCAGGACGTTGATGCCCATGACGAGCAGGACGCCCAGGAAGGTGGACACGGTGGCGCGGGTCGCCGGCTTCCAGCCGACGGCGTGGCTCTGCACGGCGCAGCGGTTCGTCTCGGCGGCGATGCGCTCCATGAACGCGTCGTCCAGAAAGAGCTTCAGGAACTCCAGGGGCTCCGCGCCGGGCTTGAGCGAGTGCACTGGCCCGGAGCTGCGAGTGAACGCCTCCACCTTCACCTACACAGCGGCGGTAGTCACGTTAAACAAAGAAGAATAAACTTTTATTTTATTTGATCACTTAAGGCTCACCGACCTGTGTACAGTAACCCCTTCCCAACCGGGAATTTACCAAGTGCGAGATTAGAGTATATGCGGATTTACGTCTGTATAGCTGTTTACCGTGAGATTTGAGTATAAGCAATTTGACTCCCGTACACCTACTCTTTGGGCCTTTCGGTAAAGTCACGTAGATAGAAAGATAGATCACGATGTTTCGATCGCAACACAGGCAATCGTCTTTAGTGAAGACTTTAGTGAAGACGATTGCCTTTGTTGCGATCGAAACGTCGTGATCTATAATTTTTTCTATCTACGTGACTTTACCAAAAGACCCAAAGAGTATAATTTCCTGCAGTCACGAAACCTTTAAATCCCATCCACCTGTTAACCAACCACGAGCATCTCGGTTTGAGTGCTACGCGAAACGCGAGCCGTCGCGCCGAGTCGTCAAATCAAAATCGCCGCTACCGCCCCACCCACCCCCCCCTTGCTAGACATCCCCTCCTCGAAGCTCCCGACTGAACGTGATGGTGGGGCCCCCATAACCTACGGGCTATCTCCCCCACGCCTGTCGGACGGTACAGCTGCCATTGGGAGTATCGCGCGCAAATGTCTATGACGGGTCGTACAAGCTTCATAATGCGCCGTTAAGGGGCCTAGTGTTTTGATAAAACAAAATAAATTTTGCCGCGGCCGCCAAGCCTCCGCCGCGTTGTCTCAGACTCCCGTGAGATGTGAGAAGGTGCCTCTAGCTCTGGAGCTACCCCCAATCTTCTCTCCGTTCCACCACATTGCTACCTCCGCCCTATAGATGATAAGCCTGCTAAAGCCTCAAGCCACTTTCTGTTTCGGACCCAGACGACCCTGAGAGTGTGGAGATGGAGGAGAAAAAGGGTTCAGAGGACTCAATAACAATCCACCTGCCTGCCTCAACCATCACCCCATCATCACCATCATAATCATCAAAGGTAAATGCAATTTAATTTACTGCACTTTTACTCATTAAGCACGTCTTAAACGTCACTAAAATTATCTTTATTTAGTTGGCTGTGTTCATCGATTAATTTTAGTGAACGAAAAACAATATTTGTACGGGATTTCACTTGCGACCTTGGTCACCCTCACCCTATTTTCCCCTTAAGGTCCTCATGTTGTAGTACAGAGTTACAGAGTTAGACTGATGGCCTTAATCTACGTTGTCTTGTGGTTGTTGTTGTTTGGCCTTCATCCCACTGGGATTTTTGCGCAGTGTTGGTGTACGGTGCTTTTTCTGCAATATTTTGCTGTCTTTTCTTGGATTTTCTGTTTGCACAGTCACTTTAAGATGTTTTCTTATTCATGTTTTTGTTTTGTTTGTTGCGGTTGCACCCGATTCAAGAGCCGAATGGCTCACAGGGTTATACCTAATAAATTAACTTGAACATGATGTTTACCAACCGCGAATTTACTAACCGCGGGGGGTTTTCAGAAACCCAACCCTCGCAGATTGGCACGGGATTACTGGATAGCTCTTTTCGAAATACTCTCAATGCACGTTTCTAATGTGGAAGTGAAAACCGGAGGACCACAGGGAGAACATGCAAACTCCAAACATAAGGCAGGGTCACACACGACCTCCGGTTTTCCCCTCCACATTTAGAAACATGCGTTCAAAGTATTTGGCTGCTATAAATTCCACATAAGCCACTTCACTGAGCCATCATTTGTGATGGCCAGGTCATATAGCTCAGTGGGCCTTACCTGGTAAAATAAAAATAGTTTAGTCGTTTAGTTTGACTATAGTGCCACTATAGGGCGCCAATTGCTATGTATGGTCCCAATTAAGTCATTTTCCCACACTTGGATTATCAATGAAACCCGATTCAAGAGCTTCTTAGCTCACAGGGCAATTCTAAATAAATTGTCCTAACAGTTCTAATGAATGTACACACCTACAAACGTTTTATTTCTTGGGATGTTTGAAAAATGAATATCCGCAGCCTCTCCTCATACTTGTGAACTTCTTTCGCACCGTACGTAGCCAACCGTGCTAATCGGAGGTGGGAGAAAAGGACAAAAAACTAAACACAAAGCAGATCTAAATAAATTAGTTTTCAATCTAGATTATCTAAAATTGTATAGCGTCAGTGGCTTATTAATATCGGGAGAGCGTTCCAGACGGCCGCAGAAGCGCATCTGAAAGAGCGCGATGCGGTGATCGTCTTTGTTTGACGGTTAGCCAGAAGGATGACCGGAGTTCGTGTGATGATGGTTTATGCTCCTTGATGAGATCAGCAAGGTATTGTGGTTCATTTGTGGCAAGCACTTTGTGCGCAATGAGTGCGACCCTTCACCACCGTAGGTCGCTACCTCGTCCACGCTGAGCTCCTGCGTCCAGCGAATTTGCGAGCCGCCCTCTTCCGCCGCGGGCTTCCCCCTTGTCGCGTTGTCGGCCGCTTCCACGACGACCAACGAAACGTCATCATCGTCCTCCTCTTCCTCTTCCTCCGAGGAGGACCCTAGCACCTCGTCCAAGACCTCCACGCAGTCGTCGCCGCTGTCGGACGCCTCCAGCTTGAGGTCGGATTCCGCCATGGCTTCCTGGCGCGCCACTGCCGCCAAGGGTCGGTCGCCTCACCGCAGCAGTAAAACCACGGGAAGTGGAGACACCGTGACCCGCCTTCCTTCCTTCCGAGCCGACGGCCTTAGTGGCTGATCTACGAGCAAAATACACAGCAGCAGTCAGCGGCTGACACGTAGCAACAAAGCGGTCGAGACGGATGTGAAAGCCGGCACAATATTTGTACTTATTAACCGCTGGCGCGCTGGACTTACTAACAACCCAGAGGTCGGCGGTTGGAACTCCCAGCGTGGCAGTTGAAACGGTGCAAATTTCTTAAATTCCTCCAGCCTGTCCACTCAGTAGAATTAACTGGTCTAACAGAAGGTTGGGTATGGTGGGGGTAAAAGGTAGGCACTCCCACCTCTTTTCAAGACGTCTAACCAGCGTGGAAGAGTGGCTCAAATTCACCCACGAGACGTGGATCCCTGCGGTGTTGCACCTTGACCTTCTTAACCACCGGCAAAAACCACCAAGCCCTCTTCAAGACTGACGGCCGTCTGTTCACGTGGCCAAGGTTTGAATGAGCCGACGTGTGCTCAAATCCCTGAGCGAGCAATTCATTTTTTCTATCAAGCGATCGCTTGTATTGCTGATATTGTAACGGCGACCTTTGGCACGGCTAGTTGTCGTCTGACCGGATGTGACGCGAGCTCGTTTTGAAATCGAGACACCGTGCGCGTCTCTTGCAACATTGCCGCGCTTGTGACGTGCCCACGTCGGTCTTGACAACTTGACCGGTAGACTGGTACTCCGCTGAGCCATGAGGAGGGGTTGTGAAGCCCTTCATCCAGCAGGGTATTGATCATGGTTGATGATGATGAAGAAGGAAGTCCTTGCAAGTCTGTAGCCTGCATCTTAAGATACACCGCAGAAAGAAAAATAACGAGTATTAATCATCGAGGAATAAACATCACAATGAAAAACTTTGAACGAAATATTATACGTCATGCAGTGTAAACAGAATCAGCGATGATGGCTACTCTACTTTACAAGCCTTTTGCCCATCCTAGGACAGAAGCTGTAATATTTACGAAAAAGTTGAGCAGAGTATAATTGTATCTTGTGTAAATGTAATGGCAGTTAATCTTGCACGAAAGAATGTCATCAAACACGACACTGCATTTAACTGTAGTACTGTATTGATGGAATTGATGCTTGCACGAACGATGTCATAAAACACCTCACTACATGTCACTGTAGCACTGTGTTTAACTGACCTTCAATTAGCCTTTTGCCCGTCCTAGGACAGAAACTGTAATATTAAAGATGTACATTCACGTATTCTTGTGCGATTGTTAATTGTTTTAGGAATTGTTGCACGTAAAAAAAACATTCTTAACTTAAAAAATGAAACCTCGGTATACGATATTTTGTGTGAATCTCTTGTACTGTATTAATGGCAGTGATTCTTGCACAAAACTACGTTATAAAAAACCTCACTTCATGCCACTGTATCACTGCATTTAACTCACCTTCAATTAGTTCGAAATCACTGTTCTGATACTTTATTTTCAACTGATTTCGCTCGCTGGGGTTGTAATCAATTTGAATTCGATACAATGCCTGGAAAATCACGGAGAAATGTAAATATTTTATCATAATTTAGACGCAAAAACTTGACTTACCTTTTGTTTCAAGTGCTGAAGAAATATATCAAGACACCAAATCCACTTTGTTGCTGCATAGAATTATTTATTTGATTAACTTTCAATAAATAAACGTCAAATTTAAAGAGAATTTGCGTAATTTTATTTTATTTCCGCTCGATCTGCGGGAGTGTAAAAATCCACCCGCTCATGATTATTAATGAGGGGGGGGGGGGGCTCTTTTGCAGTGGCATCACGTACGGATGTCGCACTGTGCTGCGTATATTTAATTTTAACCGTCACTTTCTGTAAAGAAACGTGATATTTGAAGCGACTTTGCAAAAAATATCTTTCCACTCGACCTTCCGCGTGAGTGTAAAAATCCACCCGCTCATGAATATTTATTATTAATGACGGGGGGGGGGGGTTGCGGCATGTGGAGTGACGTCACGCGCATTACACACATTTCTGGGCTATTATATTAGTAATTGATACGCATAGGGAGTGGCAGTGTCGTGGTTAGCGCACACTAAAAACTCAGTGGCCCAAGTTCGATCCGCATTCACGACTAATAACAGTGGCGAATATTTGAACCAGTCCTGGGCCTTCCCTAGGTCGATTCAGCCTTAAATGAGTACCCAGTGTGATGTGTAAACATCGCCACTGGGGCATGGTTCTGGCCACCCATCCCCATCGTGTGCCGTGTCGACCTTCATCGTGCTCGTGAACAGCACTCGCCCCGAGTGTGTTAATGCTATATGGGGGATTTGCCTCATTGATATGTCAAAACACTGTGTGGACATCTCTAAACACAAACCACAGGACATTTGGTCCCGGGCATGACTTAATCTCATGCGCTCTAATGTTGCATTGCAATCAGTGAATGACGCAACTCACGGGCATGTTGATTGTATGCCCATGTACACACTCAAGATTGCTTTCAGTGAAAAGTCTAACATTTACTAAAATTTCCTTTCAAATTTTTTTGGATTCCAAAGAACACAGGATGAGATGTTACTATCCTTTGTGCAAGCACTTCCAAGAGTTCATGAACAGTGAGCCTGGTGAAATTTGGGGAGCGCATCGTCAGTAGTGACCCTTTGGTTCCTAGGGTGTTTCGGCCTTTCATACTATACACCCTCCCCAAAGGCGGCCAGCGACAGGGTGATCAATCCTACGCTTGCGTCCCATTCCCAATTAGTCATAGGAGTTGCCTTGTTGTTGGTAGCCAACATCCCATGGGACTATGCATGGCAGGGGCGTCCTCCTCCCTGAGTCAAGCATTGTTGACTGCATACCTCCTGGCCCTCTCACTTTGGGGCCCAGCTGGGGTCTTTCCTCTTCATCCAGAGCCACTGACTGCTGCCTTCTGCCGCCTCCGATACAGCTTTGATTGCCGAACGCACGTAAAACATAAATTGTAACACTTCCACATTAACAACTTGAACTGATCGCGCGTGGAAAGAAAAAAACACAATGAAAAAAGGTTCATATTACATAGGTATGCACGCTGAACAACTTTCGCACCGTACGGGGCCAAAGAAGTTCAACATGCATACACAAGTACAGGGATTCATCGACTTACGACTATTCGACTTACGAACTTTTAGAGATACAAACAAACCTGTCCGTATGTACAGTTGCCTGTTCGGATCGACAGTCATAAGTGCAACCGCCACGCAACAGATGGCGGTGGTGGCATCTAGTTCTGCACGTGAAGAACCAAAGCCATTCACCGTGTTTAGTGCACACACCGTACAACATGTTTGGAATCGACACGAGTAAAGTTGGACTTACGAACAAACCGACTTACGAACGAACAGACCTCTGGAACCTAACTCGTTCATAAGTAGAGGAATCCATGACATATGAACTGTCATGTGGAAATGGCTTCGATGTGGTCACGCTGAAAAATAAAGGCAACATTCCCACCACAAGCTATTTAGTTTGCTGTCCTTCCCCCGCACCTCCGATGAGTACGGTTGGCTACGTACGGTGCGAAAGAAGTTCAACACGGATACCACACTCAAGAGACGATGGGACAGCCTCGTTTGCAAGAGCGAACCGGGTCACTAGAACGGAGCAGTGCGGGATTTCGGACTGAGAGCGCGCTGCGTTGGATCAGCTCACAGGACGGCGGAGGTTCAGCTGGTGCACCAGAGATTCAGCTGGTGCACCAGAGGTTCACCGCCCTGGTGGAGAGTCCATTGGGAGAACACAAAACGGGGCAACTCGGGCGGGCGTGTGTGTTGTCATCACGAGCCGATCGCGCGGACTGGCTTCAGATGCACTCGGTCGTCTGCAGACCACCCTCCCCACTGCAGAGAGGGCTCTGTCAGACCCGCCCTGAGAAACTGCCCCCCCCCACCCCAACACGTTAATCAACTACAGCACAAAAAACCACGAGCACACTCACACACACTGCTGTACGAATGTGTAAAGGGGACTATGTGTATTGTTACTCGCGTGTGTGTGTGAAATTACATGGAGTGTATATTACACAAGGCAAGCATAACCAGGCAGTATATTTTTTTAATCAGTGGCCAATTAAACTGGCCTCTTTGCTCCTCGAAGGTCATCATTCGGATACGTCAGACCCGGTTAATTTTGCCATGTGGTTGGTGGTGGTGTACATCAAACATTGATACACACGCGCGCACACACACACAACAAAACACTCCCACTACTCTCCGTTTCATCATTTCCAACGAAAGCCGCTCTCAGTCTCCCGTGAATACAAATCTGCCGCCAATTTGCATGCACCGCACTGTTCAAAGCAAATCCGTTTAATTGGCACTCTGCATATTCCAAAAAACAATTGTGAAATCGTGACACGCGCACTCCGGCAAATCTTTCCAAAGCTCCTTGTGTCCGGTGCTAAATCTCGCTTACACATTGGTTCGCCGAAGAGTTCCACAGAATTAAAAACGAGTGTATAAAACCTCACGACGGCCAATTCGCTTCCTTTGGGTTGCAAGTTTGCGGTGTTTTGTGCACACCGTACGTGTGTGTGGTGTGTACGAATACCTGCTTGTGCATTCCCATTCCTATTGCTATTACGAACACCAACATTTTAGAAAATGGAGAGCTTAAAAGCTCACTGTCTCAAACTGTGATCTTTAAATTGACTTGGGACACTGCTTTTGTCAATCCACTGCTGTACAAGGGTCTTGCCCATGCCGTGAGGCTTGTGGGGGTCTATTTTACCCAAACTTCACCATGCCGGTCAGAGTCGGTGAGTGAAGGCCTGGAGCATATGCGTGAGTAAATAGCGGGCGGTAGTATATATATTTTTTAAATATATATTTTTTACCAAGGCCCCAGTGAGCTATGTAGCTCTTTTTCAGAAGTGACCTGGCCACAAATGATAGACCAACAAAGTGGCTGATCACGTGGACATTTATAGCAGCCAAATACTCCTCGAAACGGATGTCGATTCTAAATGTGGAGGGGAAAACCGGAGGACGCGGAGAAAAATCCACGCGACCAGGGGGAGAGAGGCGTGCAAACTCCGAATATACGGCCGTCAGGGTCGGGATCGAACCCACGACCTCCCGTATACCAGGCAAGGTAGCGAACATCTCGTCACCGTGAGAGCTTAACAACAATGGAGTTTCCTAAACCGTCCCTCTGCTGACCACCCCACTTAGCAACCGCGACCGCTAAGACAACCTGGACCGCCCATCCAAACTCAAACCAGCTTGACTTTTTTGTGTTTAGTTTGTTGTCCATTCCCCCGCACCTTTGATTCGCACAGTTGGTTACATGCGGTGCGAAAGACGTTCAACATACATACATACAGCCCTCCGAGATCTGATGGGATCGGTCAAAATCTGGCCGATTTGGTCATCGGCAAAAGTGTATTCATATTTGTTGATTAAAGTGATGTCCTCTGCATGGCTTTACCCATTCGAATTGGCTGTGTTGCTGTGCGTGTACATAAACCCGGGTCTCCTTTGATCAAAAGATTTTGATCTCGTTAAGCTCTCACCTGGTTACAAAGGCCATCTGCGACATTTGAATCTCGACGCTGTATAAAGCCAAACCGATGTAGTTCTCGCACCAGATTGCGATGCTCTTCGCATCGCAGACCTTTTCAACGTGTGCAGCGTGCTCCCTTCTTGCGGTCCCACCGATCTCCCGGCATCATGGGTCTGGTTGTGTTGCCCTAGACAAAGGGGACGGAAGAAGACCGCTCTTACATTATGGGAAAACGAAATGCATCGCGCAATACTGCACCGGTTACGTGACAAACCTTACTAATTGGCTGTGTCGGGTGGTGGCGGGTTTAACAACACATTAATCTTTACGCGATCGAACCCCAAAAACACCTCTAATATGGATTCTTAAAATATTTAAGAAAATCAAAGTGGCCTTAAGCAGGACACACTCATGGCAATAAGGGATGTGGATGCCTGGCACGCTTGGCTATGTACGGTGCGAAATAAGTTCAACATATATACAGCATACAAACAACATGCATACAACATGCATGCACCAGTGGTGGAGTAGCAGCCAAGGAGCGGAACTCAAGCGATAGAACAACCTCCACGGAGGGAGACGGAGCAATGGAATCAGCCTCGGCGAGGAGGGAGCGATTAAATCCGTGCAGGTCCCTAGGTGTGAACGGTGACATCGCACGAGATGGCTGGTGACTTGTGGGGTGGTGGAAGAATTCGTATCCAGCAGTGGATCGACCATGGCCGACGACGATTATTGTGAGCAAAACATTTAACAGCAGTAATTTTTATTTTTTGTTAATAAAAAAAATATCTTCTTTCCAAAAACCAACAAATCTTCAACGGATCCTCGCCTGGTTCACCGACGAACAATACGCCACTAGAAATAAGAGAATGTTTTATTATTTCATAAAGATTTTTTTCACGGCGACGGGGGGGGGGGGCGAAGGAGGCGGCGGGGGGCGAAGGAGGAGGGGGGGCGAAGGAGGAGGGGGGCGAAGGAGGGGGGGCGGAGGAGGAGGCGAAGGAGGGGGGGGGCGAAGTGGGGGGCGGAGGAGGAGGAGGGGGGGGGGCGAGGGAGGAGAGGGAGGAGGGGGGGCGAAGGAGTGGGGGGCGAAGGAGGAGGGGGGGGCGAAGGAGGGGGGGCGAAGGAGGAGGGGGGGCGAAGGAGTGGGGGGCGAAGGAGGAGGGGGAGGCGAAGAGGAGGGGGGGGCGAAGGAGGAGGAGGGGGGGCGAAGGAGGAGGGGGGGGCGAAGGAGGAGGGGGGGGGGGCGAAGGAGGAGGGGGGGGGCGAAGGAGGAGGGCGAAGGAGGAGGAGGGGGGGGCGAAGGAGGAGGAGGGGGGGCGAAGGAGGAGGGGGCGAAGGAGGAGGGGGCGAAGGAGGAGGGGGGGGGGCGGAGGAGGGGGTGGGGGGGCGAGGGAGGAGGAGGGGGCGAAGGAGGAGGGGGGGGGGGCGAAGGAGGAGGGGGGGGCGAAGAAGGAGGGGGGGGCGGAGGAGGGGGGGGCGAGGGAGGAGGGGGGGGCGAAGGAGGAGGGGGGGGGCGAAGGAGGAGGGGGGGGGGGCGAAGGAGGAGGGGGGGGGGCGAAGGAGGAGGAGGGGGGGTCCCAGTTCCAGTGTCTCAATGGGGTTCCCACCCCAACTGCAGCCACGGGTCTCGGCTCACGGCGCGGAACACTCATCCCGCCTGTTCGCGTCTCTCTCTCCGCGTGTGTCTCCGTGTGCGCGCGGGTTTCACCTGCAGCATTGCACCCGACTGTTCCCACGCGGCAGCAGCGAGGACGGAGGAGGGGGAGACCCGAGACGAGGACGACGACGACGAGGAGGAAGAAGGAGGAGGATGAGAAGGAGACCGCATGGCGGACGAGCTCCGACGTAGGGTCCGCGGCGATTTGACGACGTCTTCGCGCGCGTTGCTGCCGAACGAAGAGCGTTCGCCGCGATCCCTTACCCGCCGTTCGAAAGGGCCGTTGACCGAAACGTCGCCTGTTGTCCATTGTCATTGGCGGGCGTGTTGAGTCACGGTCCCAGGTGGAGTTGGATTCGAGAATGGAGTTTTGGCTTTGCACAGTGCTGGACTGTGTACTGCCTAAAGTGTACTGTGTGTCTACTGCCTAATTTGTACTGTGTCTACTGCCTAATGTGTACTGTGTCTACTGCCTGATATGTACTGTGTCTACTGCCTAATGTGTACTGTGTCTATTGCCTAAAGTGTACTGTGTCTACTGCTTAATGTGTTCTGTGTGTCTACTGCCTAATGTGTACTGTGTCTACTGCCTAATGCTTACTGTGTCTACTGCCTTAATGCTGGTGTACTGTGTCTACTGCCTGATATGTACTGTGTCTAGTGCCTAATGTGCTACTGTGTCTACTGCCTGATAGTGTACTGTGTTCTAATGCCTTAATGTGTTACTGTGTGTCTACTGCCATAATGTGTCCTGTGTTCTGCCTGATCTACTGTGTCTACTGCCTAGGTACTGGTCTACTGCCTAATGTTGTACTGTGTCCTACTGCCTAATGTGTACTGTGTCTACTGCCTAATGTGTACTGTGTGTCCTACTGCCTAATGTGACTGTGTCTACTGCCTAATGTGTACTGTGTCTACTGCCTAAAGTGTACTGTCTCTACTGCCTAAAGTGTACTGTGTCTACTGCCTAAAGTGTACTGTGTCTACTGCTTAATGTGTACTGTGTCTACTGCCTAATGTGTACTGTGTCTACTGCCTAATGTGTACTGTGTCTACTGCCTAAAGTGTACTGTCTCTACTGCCTAAAGTGTACTGTGTCTACTGCTTAATGTGTTCTGTGTGTCTACTGCCTAATGTGTACTGTCTACTGCCTAATGTGTACTGTGTCTACTGCCTAATGTGTACTGTGTCTACTGCCTAAAGTGTACTGTGTCTACTGCCTAAAGTGTACTGTGTCTACTGCTTAATGTGTTCTGTGTGTCTACTGCCTAATGTGTACTGTTCTACTGCCTAATGTGTACTGTGTCTACTGCCTAATGTGTACTGTGTCTACTGCCTAATGTGTACTGTTCTACTGCCTGATGTGTACTGTGTCTACTGCCTGATGTGTACTGTGTCTATTGCCTAATGTGTACTGTGTCTACTGCCTAGTGTGTACTGTGTCTACTGCCTAATGTGTACTGTGTCTATACTGCCTAATGTGTACTGTCTACTGCCTAATGTGTACTGTGTCTACTGCCTAATGTGTACTGTGTCTACTGCCTAATGTGTACCGTGTCTACTGCCTAGTGTGTACTGTGTCTCTACTGCCTAATGTGTACTGTGTCTATTGCCTAATGTGTACTGTGTCTACTGCCTAATGTGTACTGTGTCTCTACAGCCTAATGTGTACTGTGTCTACTGCCTAATGTGTACTGTGTGTCTACTGCCTAATGTGTACTGTGTCTACTGCCTAATGTGTACTGTGTCTACTGCCTAATGTGTACTGTGTGTCTACTGCCTAATGTGTACTGTGTCTCTACTGCCTAATGTACTTGTTACTGCTTAATGTGTTCTGTGTCTCTACTGCCTAATGTGTACTGTGTCTCTACTGCCTAATGTGTACTGTGTCTCTAACTGCCTAATGGTACTGGTCCTACTGCCTAAATGTGTACCTGTGTCTCTACAGCCTAGATTGTGTGACTGGTGTCTACATGCCTAATTGTTACTGTGTGTCTACTGCCTAATGGGTGTACTGTGTCCTACTGCCTAATGTGTGACTGTGTCCTACTGCCTAAAGTGTAACTTCTCTACTGCCTGAAGTGTACTGTGTCTACTGCCTAATGTGTACTGTGTTCTACTGCCTAATGTGTACTGTGTATTACTGGCCTAAATGTGTTCGGGTTTCTACTGCCTAGTGTGTAACGGTGTCTAACTGGCCTAATGGTACTGTCTACCTACTGCCTAAATGTAGCTGGCTGTCCTACTAACTGGCCTGATGTGTACTAGTGTCTGTACTGCCTAAAGTGTGTAACGGTGTCCTACTTGCCTAATGTGTACTGTGTCTCTACTACTGCCTGAATGTGTACTGTGTCTGTACTGCCTAATTGGTACGGTTACTGCCTAATGTGTACGTGTCCTACTGCCTAAGTGTACTGTGTCTACTGCCTAATGTGTACTGTGTGTCTACTGCCTAATGTGTACTGTGTCTACTGCTAATGTGTACTGTGTCGACTGCCTAATGTGTACTGTGTGTCTACTGCTAATGTGTACTGTGTCTCTACTGCCTAATGTGTACTGTGTCTACTGCTTAATGTGTTCTGTGTCTCTACCTGCCTAAGTGTGTACTGTGTCTCTACTGCCTAATGTGTACTGTGTCCTCTACTGCCTAATGTGTACTGTGTCTACTGCCTAATGTGTACTGTGTCTACTGCCTAATGTGTACTGTGTCTCTACTGCCTAATGTGTACTGTGTCTCTACTGCCTGATGTGTACTGTGTCTCTACTGCCTAATGTGTACTGGTCTAACTGCCTAATGTGTACTGTGCTCTACTGCCTAATGTGTACTGTGTCTACTGCCTAATGGGTTCTGTGTGCTACTGCCTAATGTGTACTGTGTCTACTGCCTAATGTGTACTGTGTTCTACTGCCTAATGTGTCTGTGTGTCTACTGCTAATGTGTACTGTGTCTACTGCCTAATGTGTACTGTGTCTACTGCCTAATGTGTACTGTGTGTCTACTGCCTAATGTTCTGTGGTCTACTGCCTAATGTGTACTGTCTACTGCCTAAAGTGTACTGTGTCTCTACTGCCTAATGTGTACTGTGTCTGTACTGCCTTATGTGTACTGTGTCTATGCCTAATGTGTACTGTGTCTACTGCCTAATGTGTACTGTCTCTACTGCCTAATGTGTACGTGTCTCTACTGCCTAAGTGTTCTGTGTCTACTGCCTAATGTGTACTGTGTCTACTGCCTAATGTGTACTGTGTCTCTACTGCTAATGTGCACTGTGTCTACTGCCTAATGTGTACTGGTCTCTACTGCCTAATGTGTACTGTGTCTACTGCCTAATGTGTACTGTGTCTACTGCTTAATGTGTACTGTGTCTATGCCTAATGTGTACTGGTCTGTACTGCCTAATGTGTACTGTGTCTACTGCCTATGTGTACTGTGTCTACTGCCTAATGTGTACTGTGTCTACTGCCTAATGTGTACTGTGTCTACTGCCTAATGTGTACTGTGTCTACTGCCTAATGTGTACTGTGTGTCTACTGCCTAATGTGTACTGTGCTCTACTGCCTAATGTGTACTGTGTCTACTGAATGTGTTCTGTGTCTTACTGCCTAATGTGTACTGTGTCTTACTGCCTAATGTGTACTGTCTACTGCCTAATGTGTACTGTGTCTACTGCCTAATGTGTACTGTGTCTACTGCCTAATGTGTACTGTGTCTCTACAGCCTAATGTGTACTGTGTCTACTGCCTAATGTGTACTGTGTGTCTACTGCCTAATGTGTACTGTCTACTGCCTAATGTGTACTGTGTCTACTGCCTAAAGTGTACTGTCTCTACTGCCTGAAGTGTACTGTGTCTACTGCCTAATGTGTACTGTGTCTACTGCTAATGTGTACTGTGTATACTGCCTAATGTTTCTGTGTCTACTGCCTAATGTGTACGGTGTCTACTGCCTAATGTGTACTGCTCTACTGCCTAAGTGTACTGTGTCTCTACTGCCTGATGTGTACTGTGTCTGTACTGCCTAAAGTGTACTGTGTCTACTGCCTAATGTGTACTGTGTCTACTGCCTGATGTGTACTGTGTCTGTACTGCCTAATGTGTACTGTGTCTACTGCCTAATGTGTACTGTGTCTACTGCCTAATGTGTACTGTGTCTACTGCCTAATGTGTACTGTGTGTCTACTGCCTAATGTGTACTGTGTCTACTGCCTAATGTGTACTGTGTGTCTACTGCCTAATGTGTACTGTGTCTCTACTGCCTAATGTGTACTGTGTCTACTGCTTAATGTGTTCTGTGTCTCTACTGCCTAATGTGTACTGTGTCTCTACTGCCTAATGTGTACTGTGTCTCTACTGCCTAATGTGTACTGTGTCTATTGCCTAATGTGTACTGTGTCTACTGCCTAATGTGTACTGTGTCTCTACTGCCTAATGTGTAACTGTGTCTCTACTGCCTGATGTGTACTGTGTCCTCTACTGCCTAATGTGTACTGTGTCTACTGCCATAATGGTGTACTGTGTCTACTGCCTAATGTGGTACTGTGTCTACTGCCTAATGTGTTTCTGTGTGTCTACTTGCCTAATGTGTACTGTGTCTACTGCCTAATGTGTACTGTGTCTACTGCCTAATGTGTTCTGTGTGTCTACTGCCTAATGTGTACTGTGTCTACTGCCTAATGTGTACTGTGTCTACTGGCCTAATGTGTACTGTGTGTCTACTGCCTAATGTGTACTGTGTCTACTGCCTAAAGTGTACTGTGTCTCTACTGCCTAATGTGTACTGTTGCTGTACTGCCTTATGTGTACTGTGTCTAACTGCCTAATGTGTACTGTGTCTACTGCCTAATGTGTACTGTGTCTCTATTGCCTAATGTGTACTGTGTCTCTACTGCCTAAAGTGTTCTGTGTCTACTGCCTAATGTGTACTGTGTCTACTGCCTAATGTGTACTGTGTCTCTACTGCCTAATGTGCACTGTGTCTACTGCCTAATGTGTACTGTGTCTCTACTGCCTAATGTGTACTGTGTCTACTGCCTAATGTGTACTGTGTCTACTGCTTAATGTGTACTGTGTCTATTGCCTAATGTGTACTGTGTCTGTACTGCCTAATGTGTACTGTGTCTACTGCCTAGTGTGTACTGTGTCTACTGCCTAATGTGTACTGTGTCTACTGCCTAATGTGTACTG